CAGAGCAAATTCATTTTCCATACAGCAGTTCATACACATTTTGTTTCATGACATTGATTGCAATCCCCACAATTTAACAGCTGTCTTCCCGCATCCTCCCTGTGGTTACCTTTTCCCTGTGTCCTTCTTTCCTATGCATTCCTGCCCCCTGAGCTGTCTCCCTGTGTAAATACTGTTCTTCTGATCTCCCACAGTTGATTGTTCTAAGGAGTATACCTGCCTGGTATAAATATTCACCTTACATGTCTGTATTTTGTTTGGGTGGAAACCACGGGAATGAGTTCAATTCCAGGCCTGAGGGTGACTATGGGCCATGGTCATGAAGAGAATGGACTGCCCTTCTGCCTGTTTATGGCATAGGAAGAAATCATGGAAGACCTTACAGTGGTGGTGACCTTCATGATGAACTTTGACAGAATTAGGAGAAACTGAAGAAACTATTTATCATAGAAATTAATAGCCTACCCCCTGGAGTCAGGCTATCTACCTTCAGGTATTACCTCTGCCATTTCTTATGAGGTTTATGACTTTGTGCATATCACTTACTTCTCTGTGCCTCAGTCTACTCTTCTGTAAAAGGGGTTACTAATAGTACCTTCATCCCTCAGCTGGACCAATCCCCCAGCCTCCTGCCTGCATCTCCATCTCCAGTCTCACTGCCATCAAACATTCTACATGCAGCCACAAGGACCTTCCTAAAGCCCGCTGGAGGAGGCCATGTACACGCTCTCAAACCTTCACTAGCTCCCTGCTGTGTGCAGGATGCTGGCCAAACTCAGTTACTGGGGGTACAAGGCCATTCACAGTCTCCTCCAAATGTGCCCCTATGGCCTCATCCATCACTTCCCAGCACCTTTCCACCATCTCCAGATGCACTGAGATATTCATCTGCGCACAAATTAATCACACAGTCATGGCTCTGGGGCTTTGCACTAGCCATTCTCCTTCTGGAATTCCCATTTGCCCCCAAGTTATAACAGCTAATATTTACTGACCATTCACTGTATACTTGGCTCACTTGATATCCACTGTTAGTTAATTCTCAAAATACTGATATAAGTACTATTATTATCCCATTTTACAGAAAAGCAGACTGAGGCACAGAGAAGTAAGTGATATGCACAAAGTCATAAACCTCATAAGAAATGGTAGAGGTAATGTCTGAAGGCAGGTAGCCTGACTCCTGGGGGTAGGTTGTTAATTTCTATGATAAATGGTTTCTTCAGTTTCTCCTAATTCTGTCAAAGCTCATCATGAAGGTCATCACCTCTGTAAGGTCTTCCATGATTTCTCCCTATGCCATAAACAGGCAAAAAGCAGTCCACTCTCCAAGACCATGGCCCAGAGTCACCCTTCAGGCCTGGAATTGAACTCATTCCCGTGGTTTCCACCCAAACAAAATACAGACATGTAAGGTGAATATTTATACCAGGCAGGTGCACTCCTTAGAAGAATCAACTGTGGGAGATCAGAAGGACAGTATTTACACAGGGAGACAGCTCAGGGGGCAGGAATGCATAGGAAAGAAGGACACAGGGAAAAGGTAACCACAGGGAGGATGCGGGAAGACAGCTGTTACATTGTGGGGATTGCAATCAATGTCATGAAACAAAATGTGTATGAACTGCTGTATGGAAAATGAATTTGCTCTGGAAACTTTCACCCAAATAACAATTTAGAATAGTAATAGTAATTTAAAAAATCAAGGTCAGTGACCTTGGTAATTTATTTTACTTAAAAAAAAAAAAAAAGTCAGTCCACTCTTCCTTCTTCCCCAGCACTTTTTCATTGTGCCCTAACACACTACATTATAGTTAGTTCTATTTGTATCCACTCGACTGGATTTTGAGTAGTAGTGTGATTGCTTGGGAGACTGTAAGGCAACCCAGTGAAAAGGTGGTTCTTATGAAAAAGAAGAAGTTACAGGCAGAGGTCAGCAAATGTTTCCTGTAAAGGTCCAGGACATAGTTATTTTTGGCTTTGTGGGCCACATGTTCTGTGGAACTACTAAGTTCCACAAAAGCAATCACAGGCAATAAGCAAATGAATGGGCATGGCTGTGTTCTAATAAAGTTTTATTTACAAAAACAAGCAGTGAGCAGGTTTTGACCCAAGGGCCACCGTTTGCTGACCTCTGACATGTTAGAATAACATGTCTTGGCATGGAAAGAAGTTCAGAACATACTGTTGATTGTGAACAGCAAGTTGCAGAAAAAACACAGTATAATTCTACTTAGGTAAAAATTTTTAAAAATTAAAAACTCATGTGCGTTCATATTACAGGAAGTCCCCAACTTGCAACGTGTTTGATATACAATGAACTGCACTTAGAACCATCTGTTTGGGTTTTGTTTTGGTACTTCTTATCACTAGCAATATGTAGTATATACAATGTTGCAGTGTGCAATTTACTGATGCTATCATCCTCAAATGTTCACTCACAGATTTTCAAAGATTGAATTTATAAAAGGCAATAATAATGAACATTTTTTTAAGAGGTATTCAGTTTATGTCAGAGCCCATTTATGTCAGAGTTATCAGAACAGAACTTTGTCATAAGTTAGGGACTACCTACCTATTCTTCATTTATTGACTATATCATTATTCAACATTTTCCATTTAAGACAGCAGTGAAAAATCTGCTATTGGACAATTCTGCGCATCAACTACATAAATTTCACAGCACTTAACACCCAGGTGCTATGTGAAAGTAATGCTGGCTGTCATGGTTAAGGTTATGTATCAACTTGGCTGGGTCATGATTCTTAGTAGTTGGGCAGTTACGTATTGATGTAATTTGGCAGTTGTGTAATGATGTGATTTGGCAGTTCTGTAATGATGTAGTCATCCTCCATTTTCACATAATGCCAATTTTCACACCACAATCTGGTCTTTGGAACCTAGCCATGTTGGTCAGTGAGGAGTAGGTGCATATAACTTTGAAGGACATACACTAAATTGCTAGTTATTTCTGGGCAAGTTCCATTCATGGGTAGAGATGGAAGAAGAAATTTCTCTGTATAACTTATGGACTTCTAAGTTCCTTGATTGATTTAGGTTTTTCAATAAGTATGGGTTAGTTTCATATATTAAAAAAATACCAAGAGAAATGTATAAATGAAAAGTAGTAAATAGCCCTAGATCTTGGCTTAAAGAAAAAAGAAAACAAACAAATAAGAAAGGGACACAGATTCTGGAGCTAGGCAGATGTGAGCTCAAATTCCTGCCCAGCCACTGCCCAGAAGAGGAACTCTGAACAATATGCTAGCTCCTGTGTCTCTATTTCCTCACCTATTTAAACAAAACAAAACAGTCATTTTGGAATTGACTGTCATGGTGATCCCATGTGTGTCAGAGAAGAACTGCACTTCACAGGGTTTTCAATGGCTTATTTTTCAGATGTGGACTTCCGAGGTGCCTCTGGGTAGATTTGAACTGCCAACCTTTTGGTTAATGGACAAACACTTAACTGTTGGTGTCACCTGGAGACTCCCACCTATACCTCATAGGGCTATCATGAGGACTCAATGAGCTGATGATAGCAAAGAGCTTAGGATAGTGCCTGGTATACAAAAAGTGCTTAATAAATGCTATTATTATCATTTATTACTATTGCCATTTTATTACCAACGTAGGCTGAAATAAGATTGAGTGGGCACAGTGCCAGCTGCAGAGGCTGCAGTTCCAACAGGTCCCTGTAGCCCCCGCCAGCCACCTCCACTCTCCCCACAACAAATGCCCCCAGATACCTGCACATGATGTTACGAAGCTTCTCCAGGTTGGCGGGTGTGAAGTACCAGTAGTTGCGGTCGCACCGCTGCACGTCCTTCTCGATGCGGTGCAGGTTCACTGTGTACATGTCCAGCAGCTCCGGCTGCCAGTCCCCGGGAAGGGAAGAAAAGCACAATGACATCTCGACTCCTCACACAGGCAGAGATCCTGTCACCTCCTCCTGACCTTCTCTCGCTGTCCCAGAAAGAATATATCCTCTACCTGAACCAGCCAGGTGTTTGGTTTTGGTTGTATTATTATTTTTTTTAATAGGGAAGCCTCGTTTCTTTGTATGATGAACATTCTTTTTATATGTTTTCTTTGTAAAATAAAATTTCGACCCATAGTCACCCCAGGTATAGAGCAGAACTGTGTTCTCGTAGGGTTTGTGAGGCTGTAATCTTTTAGACCACCACTCATCTGTCAGTTTGTCACACTGTGGTGGCTTGCATGCTGCCGTGAGGCTGGAGGATATGCCACTGGTATTTCAAATACCAGCAGGCTCACCCTTGGTGGACAGGTTTCAGCCAGGCTTCCAGACTAAGAAAGACTCGGAAAAAGGAAGAGGCCATCCACTTCTCCAAGAACTGGCCAGCGAAAACCTTATGAATAGCCGTGAAACACTGTCTGATATAGTACTGGAAAACTTTAAGCTGGCACAGGATCAGGCAGTGTTCAGTTCTGTTGTACGTAGGGTGGCTACAAGTCAGAACCGACTTGACAGCACCTTACAACAACTACCACCACCACCTTTTGGAAGCAGATGGATCACCAGGCCTGCCTTCTGAGGCCCCCTGGGTGGATTTGAACTCCCAACCTTTTGGCTAACACTCACATGCTTAACTGTTTGTGCCACCCAGTGTCTCTGCATAAGGAAGGGAGCTTTGTAGCACATCCTAACCCTCCCATGACTGCAGGTAAGAAAACTGAGTGGCGGAGACTCCTGGGGACTTACGGAGTAGGTGACGCCGCTGGAGGATACGGGGGATGCCTCGTTGGTGGCAGAAGTGGTCGCGACCAGAGCAGGGAAGAGGCTTTCCATCTCGGGCTCCTCTGAGAGGCTGTCCTCGCTGTCCGCCTGGCTGCACTTCTCGGCCTCGCTGCTGCCCCAGCCCTCCATCCCGATACCCTCCTTGTCGGGCAGGGCCACATCCATGCTGCGGGTGATGGACATGAACTCGTCCATGCTCTCATTGGCGAGGAGGTCACTCTCCAGACTGTCCTGCACAGCCAGCTCCTCCCGGGGGGCCTCGTCCCGGGAAGTGGTGGCCTCGCTGCTCTGTCCGTCATCCATGCTGCTGTCCCTGGGGCGCAGCACCAGGGGTGCATTCCGATGGGCATCCATGACGCTGTCTTCTGTGCTCAGGCTGGGCTCTGAGTGCTCCGAGAGGCCCGAGGAGAAGTTGTGGGAGGAAGGGTGGCCAGAGTCTGGGGAGCATGTGCCGTTCACCAGGTTCCCATTGGGGATCTTGGGCTGCTTCCCCTCCAACCTGCCTTCTGCCTCCACCTGCTCCACTTCGTCCACGGACTCAAACACCTGAGGACAAGGTGCACAGAGAGAATGGCCTCAGATGCCCTAAATGTCCATCAATAAAAAACAACAGTTGCTGCCAAGTTGATTCTGACTCAGGGCAACCCCATGTGTGCCAGAGGAACACTGTGCTCCATGGGGCTGTCAATGCTGATTTGTCAGAAGCAGAAGGCCAGGCCTTTCGTCTGAGGGGCCTGTGGGTGGACATGAGCCTCCAACCTTTCGGTTAGCAGCTGTGAGTGTTAACTGTTTGCACCATCCAGGGACTCCTTTCTATCAACAAGGATTGGTTCACAAGTGGAACACGCAAGCAGCGCAATGCTAAATAGTTAGTAAAGAGAGCGAGGCAGGACCAGATGTAATACAGGCTCCCATTTGTGAAAAACAAAGAGTAAGTTATATGCTTGTGTACAGAGAGAATAATCCAGAAAGAAACAAGAAAGCATGCCATTGGCTGAGAGGCAGTACTAGAGAATTGGAATGGGAGCCAAAAAACTTCTCATACAAGTTTTATCGTGTTCATACAATTATTTTCAAGTAAAAATTAGTTAACTACCTAAGAAGAGCATATTATACCCATCCTTGTTGACTACTACGGGACCATTTTCAAAAGCAGTTAAATGTTTACTATATGAAATACTATATGAAAAATCTCCAAGATACATTTTTTAAATGTCATTTTGTCCAGCAAGAAGACACAGTAGAAGACTGCATTTCAAAGTCACCTGAATATTTGCTCTCAGTATGGTTACTACCAACTTGATTTACTTTTAATTTCATGTGTTTCTGTTTTTTTTTTCTTCCAATTGTGATATGGGAAGAAATTATGGAGAAGTTCAATATTGTAAGTTATGACAAGGCCAGGGATCAACTCTCACCTTTCTTCTGAGGGACCCCCCGAGTGGATTTGAACCACCAACCTTTTGGTTAGTAGTCAAGCACTTAGCCAGGTGAGCCACCCAGGACTCTACTTTCTTTTTAATAGTTATAAATCACGTAAGAAATTTGTCTAAAGCCAAAGTCAAAACTAGAAACAAGGTGTTTTCTCAGAAACTATAGCATCTATCCTGCTGCCTCTTCCATAGATAACAGTTTTAATTCTTTTCTGGTTTATCCTTTTATTATTTTTTTTTTTAAAAAAGAGTTGCAAATATACACTTACATCCTTATTCCTGATTTCTGCATTAAAAGTGTCATGCTATGCACATTTTTCTGGACTTTGCCTTTTTTGTTTTGTTTTGTTTTGTTTAACACTGAGTGTGGTTAAGTTAACATCTGTTTCCACTGGGCGAAAAAGAAAGTTACTGAACAATAAATATGATGGCATTTCTGTAGGAACTTTTAAAAGGCTATCAAACATTGCTCTATGTTATCTATACATTACTGTGCATGTGTGTAAAGGGATACAGACCGGCCTGGAAGGATATACAGCACATTGAACATAGGCGTTATGTCGAGGGAGGACAGTTGGGGATGAGACCAGCTGCCGTCGAGTCGATTCTGACTCATGGTAACGCCATGCATGTCAGAGTAGAACTAGGCTCTATAGGGTTTCAATGGCTGATTTCTTGGAAGTAAGTTGCCAGGCCTTTCGTCCTGAGGGGCCTCTGGGTGAATATGAACCACCAGCCTTTCGACTAGCAGTCTAGCCCCCCACGGACACCTTGTTGGGGACTGTTGTTACTGCCGTATGCCATTGAGTTGATTCTGACTCACGACAACCCTATATGACAGAGTAGAACTGCCTCACTGGGTTCTCTAGGCTGTGTTCTTTATGGGAGCAGAAAACCAGGTCTTTTCTCTCACAGAACCACCTGTGGGTTCAAACCGTTGACCTCTGGGTTAGCAGCTGAGCCCTCGAGCATTTTATTACCAGGGCTCGTAAGTTGAGGATTGTTGTGGGATGGTCAAAGCTGATTTCAGCTTTCTCTGCAATGCCTTATTTTTTACAGGGATAACAGATTGACAAATTACTTACCTAACAAAATCTATTTGTAAAGGCTAGTAGAAAAAGGTAAAACAAATAAACCAAAAATCCACATGTAGATGCTGCATATCCAGTCCCATGACCCTAGAGGCTGGAGAGGGGGCGGGCAGGGCAGGGCTTGGGCTCACCTGTGTGCTGCTGCTGGAGTCACTCTGCAGGCGGATGTTCTGGCGGCCAGAACTACAGCTCTGGGAGGACTGAGACAAGAGCGAGCAGGAGCTTGTCAGCTTGACAGGAGCTTGTCAAGAGGAGCAGGAGGTGAGCCACAGCCTGGCTCGGGGCCTGACCCCACCCACGAGTCAGGAAGCCTGGTTGTGTAACTTAGGCAAGTCCCTTCTCTGGGCTTCAGCTCCCTCTCTGACAGATGAAAGGGTAGGATTCACGCCCTGCTCCCTAGAGCCTCCCTGGAAGCCATGTCAGCCACTGGGCCACCACCTGCCACTCCTGCAACTACAGCACCCCACCTGTAATGCTCTGTACTTTTCACCTCTGGCTAATATTTCAGTTCAAGTAAGAGTAACAGGTTGCATTAATGGCCCATTCATTACCTCCTCCACCCCTACATGCTTTTTTTTTTTTTTTTTATATATTTTATTTCTGTTGTTGTTGGAAATATGCACAGAATGTACACCAATTCAACAACTTCCCCATGTGCAATTCAGGGACATTAATGGCTTCTTCAAGTTGTGCAGCCTTTCTCACCCTCCTCTTCTGAACCGTTCCTCCTCCACTAACATAAACTCATGGTCCCCTAAGCTTCCTATCTAACCTTTCGACTGCTCTTATCAATTTGATCCTCTATAATTAGATCTTAAAACGGCCCAATGCTCAAGGCAGACATTCTTCCCAGTTAAACGGAATTGTTTGCTTTAAAGAAGATCTCAGGGGCTACTTTTGGTTGAAGGTTTAGAGATTATCTCAGGGCAACAATTTCGGGGGTTCCATTGCCCTATAACCTTATAGCCCCTGTCCTTCTGTTGCTGGGTTTGGCTGTGGGACTTGCTTCAGCCAAAGGCATGTTAGCAACTTGACACAAGCAGTGGCTTGAGAAATGCTTGTGTATTTCTGCATTCTCTCTTTATCCCCTCGTTTTTCACCATGAAAACAGGCCCAGATTAACCCACTACGGGTTAAGATGCATGGAGCAGAACAAGTCATCCCAACCCTGGGAGCCCTATCAAGATCAACGAGCCACTTAGTCGACCTGCCGCTGCTGACAACAAGGCAGGTGCAGGGTGAGCCCCACCCGGCCCAGCACAGAGCAGAACTGCGAAGCTGACCCGCAGACTCAAATGTTTACTGTTGGAAGTCACTGACTTTCGGTGGTTGTTCCTTATGCAGCCTGACTGTGGCCACTGATCGCTGATACGTAACCAGTGAAGAGGACTGATTTTTTTCCTGAGCTTCTCCTTGGGAAAACTGGAGGCTGTCAGAGGACGGGCATGTCTGCCTTGGTCCCTGGAGCATCCCTGACCCCAAGCACAGTACCTGGCACATAATCGGTACCCAAGGGCCATGTGTTGAGTAAATGGAGGCCAGGCACTGTACCAGGCACTTTATACCTGCTGTCTCATTTGATCTGCATATAATCTCCTCTCTATATATGATTATTTGCATTTTATAGATGAAGAAACTAAGGCCCTGAAGTAAAGGAACTTGACTGAGAACCCAGAGCCAGGAGATGGCAGAGCTGGAGTACAAAACTAGGTCTGACTCCAAAGTCACCCCTTCCCCCAGCCCCTAGAAGAAGCCAGCAGTTAGACTCTGCCTTAATGCTGCAGCCACCCCCTCCTCATCACCCTTACACTGGCCCAGTGAAGCAGATCCTGGCCTTCAATGTCGTCTTACTCCCAGGCGAGTGCCCATCACCTCATTGCTGATGGTGGAATCCCGGTGCATCATCCGGTGCAGATGGCTGTCCAGGCTGGCCCCTGACGAGCATTTGGCAAGAGCAGCTGCGTGGGACTCGCGCTCCCTCTGCCTCACGATAGCCTCGCAGCCCAGCCACTCAGCCATGGTCTGTGCACAGCAGGTGTGAACCTGCTCATCCACCTGCAGGGCAGATGAGATGAAGAATTTCCCAAGGGTGTGGGTCCTGGGCAGAGCCAGCCCTACCAGAAACTGGGGTCCCAGAGCCCTGGCAGAACCAGCTCTACCAGAAAGAGGGGGCCTCAAAGCCCCAGCAATGCCAACCCTACCAGGAAAAGGGGATCCCTGAGCCCAGCAACACCCATCCAACATTTAGGCAGTTAAGGTCCAAGAGGCATTAACTGAGCACCTACTGTGTACAGGCCCTGACTAGGCCCTGGGGGATACTCAAAAGGGAGCCAGGATGCTTCTTTTTTGCTCTTTTCAAAATAAAAAGCTTAATTTAAAAAAAAGAAAAACATAGGTGTGGCTTGGGCTGTACTTCTTCCTGCCCCACTTTTGTCCGACATGGGACCAGAGTTCCCCTCGCCTCTCAGTGTCCAGCTCCACCAGTTGCCCATGACCCCAGTGCCCACTGGGGGCAACCAACCTCCTTCCTCTCTGCAGCTGACATTCCAAACTGGTAGTGGCCCAGGAGGAAGGGCCACACGGCCTTGCGGATCACGGGCTGGATGCCCCCGTAGTAGATTAGACGCAGCAGTTCCTGCTCAGCGTAACTCTGTGGTGGGCGAGGAGGCAAAGGGCGTGGTCAACAAAAAATGTGTGTGGGGGGTGGACTCTGTGACCCAGCAGCCCCTCCCCTCAGACCCACCTTCGGAGAGCCTGGTGTGAATGAGTGAAGACACACGGACCTGGATACCCACCAAGGCACCATGTGAACAAACAAGCACCTGGCAACTCCCAACTGCCCACCAATGGAGAAACATTGCACGTCCACACGGGAACACCACCCAGAAGTTAAAGAAAAAAACAAAACCCAGAAACCCACAGGAGGTACATCTGGAAGGATCTATGCAGAAAGATGTCCAATGTGCATGGGTAAGTGAAAAAAGCAAGAGGCAGAACATACCTAATATGAACTCATTTTTGAGTTTTTTAAAAAAGAAAAGGCTAGTAGCTATCACGAGTGCCTGGATGGTGCAAATGTTTAACGAGCTCAGCTGTTAACACAAAGGCTGGTGGTTTGAGTCCACCCAGAGGCCCCTCAGAGGACAGGCTTGGCAGTCTCCTTCCAAAAACCAGCTACTGGAGCTGACAAGGGGCAAGGTTATGGTCA